TATTGGGAAGCTTCCATCATGATTGCAGAATTTGACGGGTTTACAAATTCTCAATCTTTATGAAAATTACCCGAATAATATTATACCAGATGGATCAGGGAAAAGCTATCAGTTCTAATGTTTTTGAAGCTTTAGGCAAATAATTTCCAGGGAGCCATTTTTCGTAAACTCTGCCAACCTTCAATTCTCGATCCTTCAAGTGCTAAATCTAGCAAAGAATAATTTAACTGTAAGTATTCAATTGTGTTATAACAATTTCAGCATGATTGGTACATGATTTCCACACAGCATTTTTGCACTCTAGTTTTTCAACTAGCACGCTTGTAAACTTGATGAGGAAACGAACTTAAGTTCTCACAAAATCTAATATATGTCAAGTCCATGAGTCTTTTTGAAAATAGCTTAGTTGGAGAAATCGCTGAAGAGATCATGGATATTGTTGAGTCATAGAGTTGGATCTCATGAGGAACTGTAAGCAAAAGGATTCTCAAAAGATTGGCAATCTGAAGATACTCGGTATCTCGACTTACTCCTGAATGAACTTTTTGGTACAATTTATCAAAGCTTGTCATGTATAAAGATATTGAGCTACCTGAATTTGTCCTACAATGATCTATGAGAGGGTGAATACCATCAGGAAATGAACTTCAAATTTCAACTAATCCTTCTATATATGAAAGGTATACTGGAATCTACAGCAAGCCACTTACAAACAGCTGCCTGGAAGATGAATTGCCAACAGGAAATAGAAAAGATTGCAAGAGTGAAACTACTGGTGAAGAGGACGATTTAGCATTTTTTTTTTTTTTGCTGGCTTAGGACCTGTAGGCTTTGCTGTTGGCCTCTTGGGAATTTTTGGCAGCCTTCTTTTAAAGAAGTTATGGCTCCCAATCTTAACTTTATGAGAAGATAAAGAGCCTTCACATTCTTGATGTCGTTGCCTACTGATTTTGGTCTATTTTTGCTAAATCCCCTAAACTTTATGAAGCAACCAATCTTAACTTTCCTTTTTTTTTTCTTTCCCTCCAGGTGCTTCAATACTAAGTAGAGACTATTGCTGTAATTTTAGATAATAAAAAAAAAGAAAATCTTGAGTGTTTGAATAGTCTCTCCAAATCGCAATTGAATACGAGCTATTAAAAAAATAATGTCTATGGTAACTCTAAACGTGTTGGATATAACTGTCTATTTGCATGACAATCGCTCAATCCGTGATTAGCAAAACCAAAAAGTCTGTGTGCAGCATTGTTTCCATACTCCAAATTCGGGCTTTTTCTCGCTTTCCCCCATCTTGTTAACAATATATTACCACAAAAAAAAAAAAGAGATGCAAAAACAAAGCCGAAAATTAGTTTGGGTTTGAGACAAGCGCAGTTGGAGTTAGTGCTGAATTGCTGATTACTGATAGAAGAGAAAGAATAGAGGCCAAAACTTAGGGACCATGTAAAGATTTTTTCTTATTTTTTAGGCAATTTATCTAACAAGTTAGAGATACTTCCTCGTTTAAGTGAATTGCTTTAGTGCTTTACTCCCTACCTCTTTACTAAATTTTAGAATTGTGCATTCAACCTATTTTGTAACCCTTTTCTGTTTATCTAAAATCTTGATTTATGAGTTGAAATTTTGAAGTTATTTCATATGCGTGTATCTTTCAAAATTGCATGATATGTGATGTGATTATCATTCATAACAAAAAAAAACTATTTTTAACATGCAAAAGAAAAAAGTTTGTCTCTTTGTTTACAAATATTTTTTCTATTGAAAAATATGAAGTGTGCCCTAACGAATATGCTTGCACAGTATGTTTGGTATATTTCATCTTGCATCATTAGCATAAATAAGTTGCTTGGTAGATACTATCGTATAGGTGTAAATTTCATCCTTTTTGTACAAGGTTTTTACCAAAAAAATTAAAAGAAAAAAGAAATGGTTTTCACTACAGCTTTTTCTGAATTTGTATTTTGGTCTAAGGAAATTATGGATTCCCAACTTGGGTAAAGTCTCTCTTTTGTAAATTTGCTAAAATTCTTCTAATTTTTAAGTATTTACTTGTAAGGGATTGATTGATAAAGCCCCAGGGAATATTCTTTTGGAATAAGGTCCACTTCTATAAACCCTAGATATTGGTTGGTCGAATGGTTTTTAGCATAAATCAAATTAAAAATATTAAATCAAGTTACAGTAATCATAACTCAAATCAAGTTATACTTTGGTGTGGAGCAGACATCACTTGTACAGTGCAACATAAAGAAACCCTAATAATAATAATATTATTATTATTATCATTATTATATTTATTATTATTATAATTATCATTATTATTATTATTATCATCATCATTATTCTTATTATTATCATTATTATCATCATTACTATTATCATTATTATTATTATTATCATCATCATTATTATTATCATTATTACCATCATCATCATCATCATCATCATCATCATCATCATCATCATCATCATCATCATTATCATTATCATTATTATTATTATTATTATTATTATTATTATCATTATTATCATCGTTATTATCATTATTATTATCATTATATCATTATTATCATTATTATCATCATGATTATTATTATTATTATTATTATTATTATTTTATCACTAGCTGATGACTTTCAAACCTAAATGTAAACAAAACTAAGATCCTGTTTGATAATTAAATTCAACACCTAATTTTGATGGGTTTAGATCTTAAATCTTCAGATGTGTTTGATAACCAAAAATAGAACATTTGAATTAATTAAGTGGCATTAAATTTTCTAAACAAAAGTTGCTCCCAAAAATAAGTGATAAATCATTCACTTATCACTTAATATGATGTACATTTAGATATACCAAATTTCGTACTTAACAATTCAATAACATAACAGATTCAAATTTTAAATTTCTTTTTTTTTTCAAAAACGATAGAAATTTTTATTGATAAGCCAAAACTGTATAGTATTTGAGTAATGGCTCAAGCATTTTTATAAAAGTATACCTTGACATTTAAGAAAAGGCAGATTCTCTCCTCATCTATTAGTATGCCTACTTCATTTCCACTAATACTAATACATAAATCCATATTAACGATATTTGCTACACAAAAGGAGCACAATTGAAATAAACTACGTAGGCTATTAATGTCTTCCACTAGTGTCAACATTCTAATGTCTTTTGCTACCTCTACTTTAATCATTGAGATTAACTATTTGTTACTCGAGTTAACTTTGATTTTTTGCCACTACTGTTCTTTTGTCTTGATTAGTGTTAACCTTATTCTTCAACTTCATCTTGTATCTTCTGACTCGAGTTTCGGTTCACTGGTACCCATTCTGCCAATGTTTAAGATCCATTTTTGGTAGCTACTACTCCAATTCCCAGCTTACTTGTAGTTGTATTCTCTATAGTAGCTACCTGAATCTCAATGACATGTTGTTCCAGATCTTCACTCTCTAATCTTCTTCCTGCTTTGCTTATTTCTGTTGTGTTGCTATCTTCCTTCATTTTCGTTGCCTTTCCAAATTCCATCCATTCATTCCTTGCTTTTTGCACTATTCTGATCTCTTCCTGATACTTCCCATTGTATTTCATGTTGTTTCTGTCTTTCAAGATTTGTCAAAGTATGTTAGCTATTAGTGCCAAATGCTCATTTTCTTCTTTCCTGCTCCTTGCATGCATTATAGTAGCCCATCATTTCCTGAAACAATCTGTTTGATTTTGATCTCTATCCCATTGGATTGGTGCTATTTGTGCCACCCTCTTGGCTTGTTTGCAGTGAAACAATGCATGTTCTATGATTTCCACCGTCTCTCCACATCTTGCACAGACTGGATCTCCTTTGCCTGTTCTCTTCCATAGAAAGATCTTGATCTTGTGTTGTATACTCAATTCCCACATGGTTTTCCATATCTATGCATTCATATCATCAAAGCTTGTACCTCCTGTTCTTGAGTCCTGTTGTTGTTTCTCCTCTTCTTTTCTTATGAAGGCTTTGTAGCAAAATTTCACTGTATACTCACCTTGCTTACTGTGTATCCAATAATGTTTATCAACTTTCCCTTACCAGCTAATTGGTATCTTCAAAATGTTCTTTGCACCCTGCCTATTGAAGGCGCTAAAGATTATGTTCATGTTCCATCTGTGATTACTCATGAGCTCCTCAACCTTCTAGTTGTGACAATTCAGTGGTTTGACTATTGTTGACCTCTTATGGGGATTGTTAGGGATCCAGCTGTCCCTCTAGATGTTGATGCTTTTTCCCGTGCCCACTCTTTTCATTAGTCCTTCCTTCACTATATCCCTTGCTAACATGATGGTTTGCCAGAACCATGAAATATTATTAGGCATTTTGCAGTAAAAAAATGAAGAGTCTTTTGGGTAGTATTTGGCTCTCTGTATCCTACTCACCAATAGATTTGAATTCCTTATCAGCCTCCACACCTGTTTCCCAAGTAGTGCTGTATTGAAGCCCAGTCCTCCTTTTTTCCTTTCTCCTACCATTTTGGTCCAAGAGCACTAGTGCATATTTTTCATTTCTTCTGCCTCCCCCCCTAGAAATTTGCCATCAATCCTATGATATCCTTGCATAGCTTTGCTGTTAGCTTGAAGCATGACATAGCAAAAGGGGGCACAACCATGGTGGCTTTCCTATTAGATTTCATATTTTAATTTTCAAACTTCATTTCTATCACACACATTGTAAATTGGACTAAATGAAGTGAATTTCACAAAAATAACATATTTTTGCATTATGATACATTTTTTTTTATAGCATGAAAGATCCCACCTAGACGTAAAAGGTCTTGTAATTTAATAAATTGGTGGCTTTTGGGGGTGGGGACTTTTTTTTTTTTTTTTGTTTTTTGGCAAACCCCGTACACGGGGGAGGGATGCCAGCCCCAAATTTTATTGCCAACAAAACAAACAAAAACATCAAAAGTCAAAAAAAGAGAGGAAACAACCTCCCCAAAATGAAGACTACGCTTAAAGCAGAAAACCTATCCCTCCTCATTTAACCATCGAACACCCGGCACCCCACGTGAGTCAAGCACAATAGAAGCCCGAACGATTGCCGGCAGTTGGTGAACATGATCGTACAAGCACACGCCTCCTGTCCCAACAGCTGCTAATCTATCCGCAGAGGAGTTTGCCTCACGGAAAATATGTGAGACGGAGGCCGAAAAACCCTCAAGAAGACCTCTAACTTTCCTCAAAATATTACATAATGGCCACTTAGCAATTGCCCCTGAGACAACCAACTGCACCAATGCCTTGGAATCCACCTCTACCAACGAGGGACTAAACCCCCTCTGTAAACACAACTGCAGACCAAACAACAAAGCCAAACTTTCTGCCGCCAAAACATCCTGCTCTCCGAATTCTTTGTAAAAAGCAAAAATCACTTTCCCTTGATAATCACGCAAAAGCCCCCTACCCGCGGCCCTACCTTGGTTCACGCTGGCGTCCGAGTTGAATTTAAGCACACCAAGAGGCAGTTTCTCCCAGGGGATCGCACGAGGGGTCCTCCTCCGAGAAGGGGCTTTAATCAGTCATAGCAAATCACAATCAGCATCCCCCGTGAAATGCGACCGATGAAGCTTATTTGCCCTCACAAGTTGTTCCAAAAAATAATCCACTTCGCGAATGATCTTATCGATCCCCCACCGCACGCCATGATAGCGCTCCTGGTTCCTAGCTAACCAAAGAAACCAGCACACTACAACTAGCATGAACGCCCGAATATGGTTTTTCGAAGAGGATGGAGAAGTCAAATACCAAGATACAAAAACCGACGCCATTTAGGACAAACGAAATACTATTCTTTCTCAAAGGTTTTGGTTAATGGGTGCCCATTTAGGAGTCTCATGTGCTACTTTTTTAGAAAAGTGTAATTAATTTGGAAAAATATATTAATGACGCTCATATAATACATGTGACTGTGTGCACTTAATTACACTAGTATAGGAACACATGCATTGCACGTTATTGGTCAAATTTGTTTGAACTTATTTCTTTTCAAAAATATACTTTCGCCCATAATGACCTGAGAAATTTAAGAGCCACAAATACCTCTATGGATTTAGATCAAATGTGTTTGATGTTGTTTATTATTATATCTTTAGCCTTTCTACATATTTTTCAAAATATAAACTTTAAGAAATTGGTGCATTTTTTGATTTTTCAAATGAAAGTTCACTCTTTGTTTACCCTAAACACTCTTTAGTTGAGTTAAAGAGTTTTACAACTTCGCCCAAATCAACCCTCAACTTGCTACAATTGAATGCTTACCAACCACCTAAGAACTATCCTTACAATATAACCTCATAAAAACTACAAGTGAACAAGAGAGAGTATTTTCTTGCTAAAATCACTTTAGGGACCTTGTAATTGATGTAAACAAAAGTCTTTCTAATGTTCTAACTGAGGGATATTTATAGATAGAGAAATTTTGTCCCACAAGTCTCTCCAACGATAAAAAAAAGTAGCTATTGAAGCTGTCAGAGGTTCAATCCAAAAGTTATGCATTTGAGCCATGAGTCCAACACCTGTTCGGATAGCTAATCCAAATATTTACTGCCCGACAAATGCATTTGAAAAAGGTTAGTAACTTTTCGATAGAGTGAGTTAGGATCCAACATTTCGTCCGATCATGAGAGTATTGTGCTACTTTGGACAACCAATCAAGTAATTGTACGTCTAAAATTGCATATGATGTTAAGTGACAATCTTTATTCCTTCTTATTTTTCATCCTTTCTTTCCCCAAATATTTAAACATTTGTTCTAGCAAAATTCTCACTATAAAATATTAGCCCAAATTATCATTTTGGCTTGTTAATCATCAAAATCAAGGAATCAACCTAAGTCTTCAATCTTCCCCCTTTTTATGATGACAAACAAAAGGATGATTTTTTTTATCAAATAAATTCAAATAGACTCCCCATTTTTCTATGTTATCTCAAAATAGAATTCAAGTAAAACTCTCCCTAAGTACAAGCCCAACATTCAAAGAAATCATTCAATTTTCTCCCTTTTTTAACATCATAAAAAATAAAGTATGTAAGTATGAAGAGAAATTGCTTATAAAGAAAGAATTGCAAATAACTCCCTCTACGATCAAGCACATTAATTTTCTTCTTCCCCTCTTTCGCATCATCAAAAACAAAAAAAACATAAAGGGATATTGTTCGTGAAAAAGGAATTGCAAGAAAATCCCCCTAAAATTAGGACAATATTGATTTTCACTATTAATTTTTTATCAAATATCTCACTTTTAAAATAAGCATATAAATCAAGTACAAAGGGATGAATCAAATTCAGGGAATTGCTTCCCTTCAAATCATATCATCACGTACGTACCAGAACATTTATGTAAAAGATCATTTTCAAGACACTTTTGTCCATCCTCACTAAAGTTCCTCATATTTCAAAAAAAGTATTAATAAATTACCAAGAAATACATAAAAGAATCAAACTAAGAGTTTGTAGAGACCAAAATTTATCAATTCATTTTATTGTTATCTTTCATTAAAAAAAAAGAAAAAGAAAAGAAGTTGTTGTTGTTTAAATGAATTCATTTTTTAATTGTTTTGTTTTGTTTTGTAGGAAAATGAAGAAAAGTAGAATAGAAAAGATAATCAAAATCAGTTTTTGTTAAAAAAAAAAAAATTCTGTCGCACGCACTCGTTTCCTTCATAAAAAATTGGTATAAAACCAGCAATGAGGCCATAGTACCAGGGATTTTGCAGGGGCCATTTCCACTCATTTTTCTTCCGTTTTTTCCTCCATTCGATCACTCCAGTACAAAATCACTTGGCATTGATCCAAAACACCGAGAAAAATCTAAAGTCAAGCTAGCCAATCTAATGGCTCAAAGTAACCTAGAAAACCAGCCATCATCTGCACCCTTAATTTTAGGTTTTGGGGGGGGGATTTGTGGCTATAAAAGGGACAAAAACACAGCCCTAAAATGGAAGAAAACAAGAGTGAGGGCGGCAAGGAAAGAAAAAACAACAAAAGAGAGAGAAACGAATGAGAGAGGAAAGAAAAGAAAATTTTCTGCAAAAAAAAGTGGGGCTGATCGAGTAGCCGTATTTGGATGCCATTTTCTCCTTCTTTTTAGCCTTTTTTTCATCGATTCCTTTTTTTTGCATACCCTATAGACGTAGGAGAAGAACTTTCATGTTGAAGGTTTCGTGAGAAAACAACTTTAAGGCTACCAAATTCGACGCCAAATTTGGGAGGAAACCAACCCTGGTATCCAAAGTTCTTGGAGTTTGAAATCAAATTTGCAGCCTCAAAGTTCGTTTGTTTTGATTCATTTTTGACCGACATATCCAGGTAGATGTTCCTAAACTTTGGCCCGTTTATTTGTTTCGTTGAAATGCGATTTTGTGGGATTTCCTTGCCATGCTGGATTCTTTTAATGGGCAAATGTAACAAAAACTTGTTTAATAGATTAAAGATCTCAGCTTTTTCTTAATGTTCCAACCCTTGGGTGTAGGAAGACCCCTTCATTTTTTTTTTTTTGTTTATACGTTTAGATAGGGTCTCATGAGAGTTTTGGTTTGATGTTTGATGCGGACATGTTATGAAACTTGCAGCCTTGTTCTTGGACTACAAAATTTGATTTTGATTGATATTTATGCTAATTGGGATCTTGTTTGAAACTTTAAGCATGCTTTTGATGTTGTAAAAATCATTTTTATGTAAAAAAAACTATTTAAAATTCACTAAAAAAGGCTTAACCATAGAGCTTCCAATGTTTGTTGAGAAGGAAGTCTTCCAAGAAAGTTGCAGAAGATGACTTTGAAAGCTTTGCAGGATAATTTCTGAAATTTTCATTTTTGACCCCTAACTTTTGCCTAATTGCACTATGGCCCAAATACTTGGAAAAATAAATCAATTTCACCCCTTTTTAGGTTTAATCCTGTTTTTCATATTTTAGCATGTTTTGTTCAGCAAATGATTTATGGGATTTAGAGTATAATTACACTTTAATCATTTTTAGTTGACTTATTAATTTATTGGGTTTTGGTGAAACAGATGAGAATTAGATTTGGTTATTTTGTTTGATTTTTTTGGAAAGCGGGTTTTAGTTATTTCTGATTGGGTTTGACTTGGGCTTGGAGGCTAAAGCCCATGCATTTTCGGTTGGACTTGAGTTATAAAAAAGATAGATTGACCTGCATATTGTTTTAAGGCTTTAGGTTGGGCTAAGAGGATTTTTGGACCCAAATAAGAAATAAAAATGGCTCAATGGCCTTTTTACCAAGAAGCCTACCACAAACATTGCCTTTCAATCCCTAAACTTTTGAGTATTTTACTGTAGCCCTAAAAACTATTGATTTCTTTCAATTAGGTCCTAATTTAATTGCAATTTGGTTCCTAAACTTTATTTTTTTATTTTTGACCCCTAATTTTTATAATAATTTGATGTGACCCCAACAACTTTATTGATTTTTGCAATTAGATCACTGATAATTTTGATTTTTTAAGTATGAGTTGTTTATCTTCTTTAATTGTTAATTATACATTATTTAAATGCTTTAATTGGTAGATTTCATGGTTATTTTCATTTCTTTATAATTTATTTATTAATTAAATTGGTGCATTGACCATTTTGTTGATTTTGGAGTATAAATAGGACAAATCCAATCTCATTTAATCATTTCTTCAAGAGAGGTACCTTCTTTTATTATTTTAAATCCTCTTATGTGTTCCAATGTGTTTCTTATGTGTACTTGCATGTTTTGAGTGCTTTTATTTTAATTATTCATTTTAAATTTTATTTATTTTATTTAATTTTGATGATTATTTGTGAGTCATTTAAATATTAAATTATAATAGATAGGCACTCAAGATATGTATTTAGCTAGTCTATGTAATAGATAGGTTCTAATTTTTGCTAAAAATGTATTTAGTTATATAAATGTAGTAGTTAGGTTATTATTTTTAAAATTCCCCTCCTTAGATTGTAATTAGAGCACCAAATGTAATATTAGACTTTTATTTGCATTTATTTGCTTGTGTGCTTGCATGCTTGTGTCATGCTTGTGTGTTTACAAGTTTATTCGCTTTCATTAGGATTTTGCATCTAGAAATTATGCTTATATGTTATGTGTTCTATGTGCATTACGTGTTTTTTTGCTTTAATTAAGTGTTTATTTGTTTTAATTACGTTTTTTATGATTTACTTATTTATAATAAATGTATGACATCACTACACTAGTCCAACGCTAATTGTGGCCTTTCTCCCCGATTTCTCACTAGTCCAACACTAGTGAAAACTTATAGAAATGGGTTAGTCCAATGCCAGACTCTTTAGACCGTCTCACGATAGAATCATATTTTTGCGTGACATTCATCGAATTTCATACATGTTTTTTCATTTTAGGGTCTTTTATCATCTTGCATGATATTTTCTCTATATATTATCTCCCTTACCCCTATGTGCGCGAAACATGATATTTAGATTTGCATTTCATTTAGGAAATTAGAAGTAGGTTAGTTCATTTGTTTGATTAGGTTAAGGGAGTCACCCTTCAAATACGAAAAATGGACAAGTATAACTTCTTAGCCTTAGCACACTTATATCTCCTCTATAAAAAGAAAAATTGAGTCACGAATCTTAGTCCTGTTATGTTGCATTCCTCTCTTTTAAGTCACATATATTT